ATGAGTTTGTATATCAAGTAATGAAACATCCTCAGAAACTAGCTGTTGAACTAGATGAACAATCATTGACATACTGTGAACTTTTTGCTTATGTCCAGATTTTAGCTGTCCATCTTTTAGATGAATATGGTATCATTCCAAGTGAAGTTATTTCGCAGTGTTTTGAACGAAGTCTGTCTATGGTAAGTTAAAGATTCAAATAAATATATACCTTATATAACTTATTGAAATTCATTAGGTCATTGGGATCATGGCAATTGAGATGGTTGGTGGTATATATTTTCCATTATCATTTCGAGATCCACAGAATCGTTTGCACATGCTTTTGCAACAAACACAAACTCATCTTGTTCTTTGCCATTATCTGACAAAAAATAAATTTAATGATATTATCACTATATTAGATATTGATTCTATATTGGTCAACAATAATTTATTTCCACATATTAATATTGATCAGTTATCATCTGTTCATGTGACTATCGATAGCATAGCCTACATTATATTTACAAGTGGTTCGACAGGAATGCCAAAAGGGGTGAGCATTGAAGTGGCTATAATTTAAAACTAATACACAATAAAGAAAATAAATGAGTCATATGAGAAAAAGATTAACTTTTTATTGTTTTCATTATTTTTTTTTCGTAGGAGATCGAATCGTTTTAGAGTTTTGTTGATATATTATTTATGAATAAAAAAGATTATATATTCACAATATATGATGATCTTTTTGTTTATAGGTTCGGGTGCGACATAGAAATTTTATTCAATGTATCTATTCTTTGATGCGCATTGATTCATTTACCGACGATGATACAGTGATTCAAATGGCTAGATGTTCATTTGACAATCATGTTCAAGAAATTATTGGTTCATTGATAATTGGAGCTACAATAATTATGCTTCGTCCAAGAGGAACTGTTGAATTGAACTATCTTGCTGAAATCATCAAAAACAAACAAGTTACTTATATGCACTCTGTACCAAGTTTACTTCGCAACTTTTTCACTTTTCTTAAACAGAATCATTATTTACATATCATAAAATACATTAGATCACTTTGTACTATCGGTAAGTAACCATCATATGAACTATATAATCTTTTATAATGTTCTGTTACTTTTTAGGTGAGCCATGTAGTATCACGTTAGTCAGTTTAATCTTCACTGATCCTACACATCATTTTACTTTTTGGAATTGGTATGGTTTAACAGAAACTACTGTTGTTGGCACTTTTTATCCTGTAAACACTATAGCTAATACCGAGAGTGTTCCAATAGGACGTTCATTTCCTAATTATCGCCATTTGCTTCTGGATAGTTTCTTACAATCTGTCATCATGAATCAAGAAGGTGAATTACTTATAGGAGGTGTAGGTGTTTTTGCAGGTTATCTTGGACGTGATGATTTGACACAGAGAGCTCTCATTGATATCGATGGTGAGATATTCTATCGAACAGGTGATCTTGTTCGAATGGATCATAATGGACTTCTTTATTGTGTCGGTCGAAAAGATTTTCAAATTAAAATACATGGACAACGAATTGAACTTGGTGAGATCGAACGATGTCTACTTAACATTACATCCATCTCTGCTTGTGTTGTCATGAAATGGAATGATTATTATTTAGTTGCTTATGTTCAAAGTTCTGATATTAGTGAAAAGAAATTGGGTGAACACTGTCAATCTCATCTTCCACCACATATGATACCATCCACATTCATTATACTTGACAAACTACCTTTAAATCAAAATGGAAAAATAGATCGAAAACTTCTTCCTTCACCTCACTTCTCATCTACAAATCTCACAAACACTAGAGAACTATTGCTACCAACAAATCATATTGAAGTTAGTATTCATCATATCTGGTGTGAGATATTCAAACAAAATCAAATCTCAACTAATACAAATATCTTTACTATTGGTGGTCATTCATTACTTATAATGCAACTTTATCATCGATACAAGGCCGAGTTTCACTTAGGAGCAAATGCCTTTTCTATTTCGAGTCTATTTCAACATCCAACAATTATTCATCATGCTCAATTTATTCAGCAATCTATCAATACCATCTTCAATCTAGATAACTCTCCTTGGTCTTCCTTACATCTCATTCAAGGTAAATAACACAACTTCTACTAGATGTCATCATCAACTATATATTTATCTTTTTTTTCTCATTCTAGCAAGAGCATCATTTGCACAAGAACGAATCTATTTAGATGAACAAATTCGGTTTTCATCCAACAAAACAACCATGAATAATATGTATGTTATTCCATTACTCTATCGTATATCATCTATGCATGATCATGTATTAATTACTCGATTATTTCATGCATTTCAACGTGTTGTCACAAAACATAATATTCTTCGAACAGCACTATATATTGATGATACTAATGGTAATATTATACAACACTGCTTAGATGCAAATATCATTCTCAACGAAGATATGAAATCATATGGACTGACAATCATTAATATTCATAATGATGAACATGATCATATGGATGAAGTTATTGTAGAAATCTTAAACCAAACAGATTTATTTGATTTGTCAAAAGGACATGTTATACGTTGTCATATTCTTCGCCATTATCATCAATCTCAAGCTAATATTTCATGTGAGAATGATGATCTCTTGACTGAAAATGATCACATATTGATTACTATTCATCATGCAATGTTTGATGGAGCATCAAGATCAATTTTCCTTTGTGATCTTTCTCTTGCTTATCAATCTGATGACTCATTATCTGTGGGTGAAAATGCATTGAATTATATAGATTACTCTGTTCATGAACATGTCATCGATATGTCATTATCTCGTGAGTTCTGGCATTCTCAACTTAAAGGATACAATATCGAATGTTCACTACCATTACCATTTGATCGACAACATTCATCAACTAATCAACAACGATCAGGTTTAGCATCCATAGCTGAAATCATTTTCAATAATGAATTATGCACATCATTTCTAAATTATGCATCTTCACATCATCTCACACTTTTTCAACTTGGATTATCGATATCTTATGTTTTCCTATTCAAATTAACTCATGGTGAGACTGATTTATGTATTGGTTCTATTAATGCTAATCGATACCGAAGTGAATTAGTGAATATGATTGGAATGTTTGTTTCAACATTACCGTCTCGTGTTGAACTTGATCTCCATTGGTCATTTGATGAAGTAGTCAAATATGTTCGAGAAAAATGCTTATCAATTCTTGAACATTCTCATTATCCACTTCAACGTATTCTTGGTGATAATGAATTAAATCAATCAAATATATCATTTCTTGAGACAATGTTTGATTTTATTACTACATCAAAAGATATGGGGCGTTTATGCTTAAATGATTCAAATTTAGAACAAGTATCATTAGAACAATCACTTGAAATGTCTAAATTTGACTTCTCGTTAACATTTGTATACAATCCATTATCAGATAATAAAAGATTATTATGTAGTTTCGTTTGTTCACATGATTTGTTTGAAAAATCAACTATTTCAAAAATAGCTCAAAGGTTTCAATTTATGTTTTATCAACTGTTTCAGACACAATCAAGTAACATTCCTGTGATGAATGTGAATTCATCGATTAACAAACTATCTTTTATTCTTCCTGAAGAAGCTGAAGAAATGGATTTAGTCGTGTTTCATCGATTGGAGAATATTATGAATGAAGGTATGATTATATGCAGCTTGTTCTATTCTTTTATAAACGTAATAGTCAGTTAAATCAGTAATGAGAAATATGCATTAAAGTACATTGCAATGTACAGGCATAGTATTTTCAGTATTTAAATAAATTCTAAGGAGATAAAGAACAAGAAAATAGGGATTCAAATGAGTTGCGATCGTTAATGACTCAGGCTGTTTTTTTCAGGTACTTTTGTTTGGTAACTTCTAAGAAGAGATCACTGAAGCCGCTGAAAGTGAGCTGGAGTCGGGTTTATCGAGACATTTTTCGCGAGAGTAATCAAAGTTAAATTATATCGGTTGCTGATGAATATTTACTTTGAATATGTGAATAGTCTTGCATTTTTGTGTTAATCAAGAAAAAATAACACTTACCAATGCTCAAAAGTTGTATATTTCATTTTACGAAACAGAACAACTATGATAATAGAATGTTTCATAAGCCTGCTTGACTGTAGACTGGTATTCTCTCAGAATTAAGATAGGCTCGTAGATTTCATTCTAGAAAACAAATTCTGTTCAGTTAGAGAGACGATTAGATGAAAAGTGACTAGAATATTAATATCAAAGATCATTTAACCAACCAACTGTTACATTATAATTCACTAAGCTCTGATCATTCTAGCACCAGCATCATTTGCACAAGCTCGTATTTGGCTTGATGAACGAATTCGATTCGATCCAGACAAACCTCAAATAGCAATCTATAATATGCCTTTTGTTTATCGTCTGCAACCAGGTCATACTTTATCGATTGAACAACTTCGTCATGCTCTTCATCTCACTATTAACAAACATCACTCACTTCATACATCAATTCATTTTGACATCCAAAAGAATCTACTTATGCAACGAGTTATTAGTCATCAAGATAAAAATGATAATGATAATATGTTTTCAATCATCGAAACTGCTTATGAAACAGATGAGCAATTAAATGAGATTTTACACGATGAGAAACGTAATCCTTATCTTTTTGATCTTGCTCAAGGTCTCGTCTTTCGATGTCATATTATTTATTACAAACAAATCTCTTCAAATCATCTTCTTTCTCATAAAGATCTACTTATTTTCAATTTTCATCATGCTCTATTTGATTTTCCATCGATGGAAGTGTTTCTTCG